TTGAACTAGCTTACGTTCTCAACAGTGCAGAAACATTCCCTTTCACCGCAGCTTTGCCAACACTTGTTTTTTTTATTTTTAAACAATAGTTATCCTTACTGCTTTTAGGTGGCATCTCACGGTAGTCAATCTAAAAAATTTTAACTGGAAGAATATGGCACTTATTCTGCTGTGGAATTTTCTCAAAAATACTATTTTGTGACACACATACACAAAGCAAATAAGTGACTAGATTGAAGAGTAAAACAAGCTGTGAGTGTAAAGATATGCTTAAGTGAGTGCAAGAAAAGGGTTAGGAAAGAATTTGGTGACCCAGGACATAAGTTCAGGGTAATAGCTAGATATGAGCAAATTACACAGTGATGCAAATATTTTCAGCTTACATTTGGCAAAAGATGGTCCAAATTCTAAGTACCCTTAGTGAACCACATGAAATATCATTTTAGAGGAATATGTTCCAAAACTTTACAGTTTATATTCTGGTTCAGTTGTATGTAACTCCCACATCTTTAAGGGCTTGCATCAGCTCTGCAGTTTACAAAAGGAAAGCATTCAAAGATACAAAAACAGATTATGCCTGGGAAAAAAAGAATCACTTTTTTCTTTACATGTTGAATTTGGTTTTCAGTGTTAAAATTAAGAGTAAGATTAGGCCAGGCTTGGTGGCTCAGTCTGTGATCCCAGCACTTTGGGAGGCTGATGAGATGAGTGTATTTCCTGAGTCCGCAGGTTCGACACCAGCCCACATAACTTGGCAAGAGCTTGACTCTACAATAAATAAATAAATACATAAAATTAGCAGGTGTGGTAGCACATGCCTGGAGTTCCAGTTACTTGGAAGACTGAGGCAGAAGAATCGCCGGAGCTCAGCAGGTCGACGCTGGGGTGGCTGTGAGTGTGCCAAGGCACTACAGCCTGGGCAACAGAGTGAGATTCTAACTCAAAAAAAAAAAAAGAAGAGTAAGAGTATATGCAAAAATAGCACCAAGTGAGTGACTGTGTATTAGAACAGAAACTTCAAAATGACATGACCATAGAAAACAGTAAGTACAATATCAAGTTGTAGATGAGACAGAAAAATGGCTGATGTCCATAGGTATTATTCAACTGAAATGTCAGAACCAACAGGGACTAAATTGTGGCCTGAGTAATTTGGTCATCCACTTTGAAAGAATCCTTGTTAGTCAAATATTATTATTTTGAGGTGGGGTCTCACTCTGTAACCCAGGCTAGAGTGCAGTGGCACCATCACAGCTCACCGCAGCCTCAATATCCTGAGTCCAGGCTATTCTTCCACCTCACCCTTCCAAGTAGCTGGGACTATAGGCGCATGCCACCACACACAACTTTTTAATTTTTTTTTTTTTGTAGAGGCAAGGTCCTGCTACGTTGACTAGGCTGGTCTCAAACTCCTGGGGTCAAGCAATCCCCCTGCCCCCAAAGTGCTGAGATTAAAGGCATGAGTAACTGTGCCTGGCCCAAAAATTATTTTCAGTATTTATTTGAGTTGGCGACTCACTCTGTCACCCAGGTTGGAGTGCAGTAGCACACTCACATCCACCCCAGCGTCGACCTGCTGGGCTCCGGTGATCCTTCTGCCTCAGACTTCCAAGTAGCTGAAACTACAGATGCACACTACGACACCCGGCTAATTTTTGATTTATTGTAGAGACAAGGTCTCGCCAAGTTGCCCAGGCTGATCTCGAACCCATAGGCTCAGGCAATTCACTCACCTCGGCCTCCCAAAGTGCTGAGATTACAGGCTGAGCCATCGAGACTGGCCTGTTTTCAGTATTTTAACTCTTCATGTAGCCTTCTTCTAGATAAGACCTTTAGTTTTATCATGGGATTCTTGTTTTAGGCATTTCCTAAATGAAAACATTACAATGCTGTGGGAAGGCTATCGGCAGTAGCAGAAAACTGTCAGGGGAAGCGGGGGTGGGACTGGCAGTTGGGGGAGCTGCTAGGGGAGGGAGGGGCATGCCTCATCAACAAGGGTACCTGCATGATCAATGTTTGTATACCTAGCCCTGAATTGTACCCCACAGTTTTATAATAAATAAATTAAAATTAAAAACAAAAAACTAGCACCAGAATACCACAACCTCTATTACACTGGGAAAAAAACACCACACTTACCTTCTGTTGACGAAAGAAGTCAAACTCTGTAAAATATTTACGATGGTTTATTCTGAGCCAAATGTGACCAGGCCCGTGACACTGTCCCAAGAGGGATATGCCCAAGGTAGATGAATTGTAGCTTGGTTATATACATTTTAGGAAGACAGAAGTTACAACAAACCGTAAATCAACACATGTGAGATTTACATTAGTTTGGCCCAGGAAGGTGGGACATCTCCAAGCAGAAGCTTGCAGGTCATATGTGGATTTAAGATTTGCTCTGAAGAATTTTGGTATCACTAAAGGAAATGCTTTTGTTGAGAGGAAGTTTCTTGATATGCGGATGAAGCCTCATAGGTGGCAACCCTGAGAGAGAATAGATAGCAAACATCTAGCTCCTCTGTGTAACCCTGGGAAAGGGGATTCTACACAGGTGCAAATTTCCCCAAGAGATGATTTTACAGGGTCATTAAATATGATTTCTTCCTTTATCTGTTGTGTGTTGTTATGTCAGAGTCAGGTTGTCAAGTAACCACATTTTATAGCGCTCATCAAAACCTGTCTCCTCAACCCCCTTAGTTGAGAATTTGGCAAGAGAGAGAAAAAAAGTTCAGAGTTTCTTCCTCATCTCTACCCAGTATTTTCATGAAATATTTTACATATATATTTATATAGCCAAAGATGACCATATAGTCCTGTTTAACAATAAAATTCAATTCCTATAAAGCGTTCATAGTCTTTGCAATTTTGTATTTAAAGAATAAAAAGTATTCAGTTAAGGTGTCAGACAAGTAAATTTGTTTTAAGGTCTTCTAAGATAAACTCCTTGAATAAAAGAACTAGACTCATTCATCTTTATATGCCTGTTGACCAAGTCTAGTGTTTGTACGTTAAAAGTACTTAATAGGAATCAATGAATTGAACAAATTAAGGTACTAAACTGCAACAAATGATCAGGATCAAGAGAAGTCTTGAAAAACAAATGCTGTAGTTAAAATATATTACTCATTCATGAATAATACAGAGAATGTAAATCCTTTTATAAAAAATTCTTGAAGCTCCCACAACAGTACTACAAGTTTTCCAGAATTAAGCATTGAGTGGAATGGTGAATCTTGAATTTTGCGGGTGTGGGAGCCACAGGGTCATGGAGGTATACAAAAGTCCTCAAAACAGCTCTTATTTGGATCTAAAACAAATGTTAATTTCAATAAACCAGGATGGATGTGGGTGCTCATTATTCCCTTCTTGTCTGCATATTTGCACATTTTTTTTAAAAAACAAAAACACCAGACCTTTACAGAAGCAATCAGCAGTTTGTATTAATGTATCAGTAGCATTTACCAGCTAATCATCTATTTTATAAACATCATTCACTTGAAGATCAATGATCAACAGATAACGATCTATGCATCTTCTCATATAATTTCAACAAATTGTGACACTTTTAGATTTTTAATAAAATACATTTCCAGAAAAATGTACTTTTTCTGTACAAAATGGAAATTAGAAAATACTATTTTAAGATAAAACTGTAATGATTCCATGTATTTTATTTGATCTAATTTACAACTGAGTACAATTTTTCTCCCCTATTTGTATTTAATTCCATAATCCACCACCTTCTCACCTGGAAGGAACCCAAATGGCATGTGTTAATTTAATCTAAAACTTTAAATTTCCATTTACAATAGTCATAGCTTCTTGAAAGGGCATTCTCAGGTCAAATAAGATAGAAAAACGTAAGCTTCTGTCCGAGGCCACACCACCCTGAACGTGCTGATCTCATCTGATCTTGGGAGCTAAGCAGGATCGGGCCTGGTTAGTACTTGAAAGAAAGAAAAACACAACCTACTATAATGCCTCTTGCAGTCACAGCATGTTAAAAGCCCAACACATTACACAGGAAAGAGAAACGGTTCCCAAGGTCATCTGAACCCAGAACCTTTTCTTTGTAACATCTATACTATCTTTCTGTGTTCTACGGAGAATATTTGAATCAATCTAGATCATGTCCATTCATGCCACTATGAAGCAATTCAGTTTCTGAAAATTCAACGTTGAAATGGTCCTTCTTCATCTTTTCATAACACATATTCCAAACTTACAGTCCCCAAGTGTTTGTTGGCTTATTTCTTTTACTTGCTTATTAGTGCTATTTTTTTAAACGTTAGAATATCTATTCAAAAAAGTATTGGCAAGGTCATGTAACTAAGTGGGTAATATGATATAATTTTAAAGGTACTCCTGGGTTATAGTTTGCAAAGCAAAAGCCACAAGAGGTTTTCTTACCACTACAGAAAGTATTTAAAATATTTTTATCTTATCCTTAAAATGAACATATGATAACTTTATTAACTAAAAAATTCAACTGACAAAGCATTAACTAGAAAATGTTTTTGACTGTTGGTACTTAAAAGAATCCTATTGCAGTTTTTTTTGAAAGAGCCTAAAATGAATTTTTCCAACTTTATCAACTGAAACTTGGCTTGAAAGAATCCTAATAATCCCAGTCATATATGACAATCTGTACACAGAAACATGCATAACCTTCCTATGTATTGGTTTTCCTATGGTGTGGTCTCCTGAAAAACTATTGGAAAACAGACTTCAGCAAATAGAAATTTTACTGCATATTGTTTGATAACAGTAACCACACATTTTCAACAAAAATCTTAAATCTCCCTTTGAAAGATATCATCTTTAAAGAAAATATATATTAAAATAAAACTCATTAATAATTCATTTATCTGAGGAAACTTCTATTAGAAGAAAATGGTATTATATTGCCTGATTGAGCCAAAGCTGCTTGAAATTCTAGCTGTCTACCATTAATTATTGATTGTATTTCAACACAAAGAGCAGAAAAGACCTGGTAGTTAAGTCACAAGAATTTTGTTTATTGTAGCAAATACTTTCACGGCATTTCACAAAACTCAGAACTATTTCTTTGAATTGAGTTCAAATCTATAAAACCAAGTCACCCAGGATAAGTTCTTTGGGGAAAAAGAAAAAGGAAATCAAACAACTAAAAGATACATTTCATATAATAGCAAAATATAAAAATAGAAGCCAAGTGACAGAATGGAAAAATTAGCCAAGCAATAAACTTCGGAAATTTTGATTCTACCCATCTGAATTGTTGCTAATCTTTGTCTTTCCAATGTTATATATGTAAAGCAGGTATAATAATAATTTAAGATGGTCTTGACTTATTAAAAGATAAAAAGGAATGACTGAAAAATGTTCAAATATTTTATAAATACTATTAACAAAAATATGTATTTTCATGATACTTTTTGTCTTGCTTCAGTGAAGGTGTCCTTTTAAATAAGACTCTGTCTCTTAATTTGTTTCAAATTCTCATCTAGAAATGTTAGCTTTCTTCCAAAGTGATACTCCCAATAAGTGTCACAATATTTCTGATTAAGAAAGACAATATTAGAACTGTCCCACCTGAGGAAAAACGAGAGGACTGCAGCACAATTGGTAAAGCTCCTAGACTTAGTTCAACCGAGTTAAGGATCATCCAACTGACGCTCTGTTATTTCAACATTTTTCAAGTATGATTTTGAAATCATATTCTAACTCAGTGAGATTTCTTATATAAGCAGCAAGAATTTCATTTCTGTAAACATTTGCAGTGCCAGCTGTTTCTTTGAGTAGATTTGTTTCCCCTTAAGAACCGCTCCAGTGAAGAATCATTTATTACATGTCACGTCCAAACCCGAAACTCAATGTTTTTCTGTGAAAAGACAGAAATAAAGTCATATAAAAGCTTTCTGTAGTCAAGCAGTTGCCTACCTATTATAAGCATGTAGTCAGTCACGCCTTACAGATTCCTGATGAATTAAAAATGTTTTCCAGTTACTTAAAGCTCATCGGACGTGCTGTTAACCTTTGCTAATTCACATTCTTCACTGGTTTGACAACTCTGAAGGATGTCCTTGTAGTGGTTCTTCAGATCCTCATAAAATGAAACGGTTTCTTGTGAATGAGCCAAAGGCAACACCTTTTCATTTAATAACATCTGCACTCGGAATTCTTCTTTAGGAGTCTTAGCATCTTCACAATGGTAAAGCACAAATATGAGATTTGAGGCATAAGGTACAATGTGACCACTTCGGAACTTCCGATGCATTTGTTCCTTATAGTTGTAAGCTGTTAGGGGTTCCTTGTCTTTGAAGTAGCCCATGAGAGAAAGCAGTGGAAGAAGGGTCTCTGCATGACCAAACTGTAGGATGACTGGAGAAGAAACTGGCTGAGACCTTAGAAAAGAAATTAAGAAAAAAAAGTATATATATTTATGTCAAAGGCATTAATAACTACATTTAGAAGTACAGAAGTATTAGATATTAAGTAGTATCCATCTTCCTCCCATACTTTGTTTTAATTTAAACAATCCCAATTTCAATATACAAACTCAAGCACATGGCTGAAATTCTGTGCAGCAGCAAACTAAACTTTTTATACTGAAAGTGAAGTACCAAAATTCAGAATCACTATAGTGTTGCAAATCCATATAAAACAGTGTGCATACACATTATTCTGTAAGTTTAAAGAGAGAATAGAGTCTTGTAGATTAAGGAACTTGAAACAGATGTGTACTTCAACACTGTATTGCCTTTCTGTGAATGAACTGAGCAAACTGGCCTTCAGTAAACAGATTTCTCCATGGAGCTCTTCTGAATAAAGTGTTATAGAATGTCTAGGGAATAAGAACATCCAATATTCTTAAGTGTCTGAACAGTAAGTGGTAATCCTTCAATAGTTTTCAAAACCTAATTTGGGCACGGAATTTAGAATAAACCCACAAAAGGGCAGTGATGTAACCTATTCTAGTTGATACAATGTGTCTCTGGTTGGGAGTGGGAGTTTATAAAGTACCAGAAATACAAACCTCTTCAAAATTATAAGATAGGTCATTTTTTTCTTTCAAGTTTTCTTTTTATTTTGGCAAAAGTTTTTTTTAAAGAAGCAGTTGAATGCATGCTTACTTAGCCTTTCCCCAACTTTTACAGAAAATATATGACTAATTTTTAAAAAATATAATTTGTAAAACTACTCAAACACGACTGACTTGACCTCTTGTTCCCAACCATTAGCTTATACATTTAGTGCATGTAGATTTTCTGGGAGGACAAAAGCAGCAGTTTGGACCTTCCTGAGTCCCCACATAAAAAGAGGTGGTGCAACTGGACAGCAAATCCAAAAGCCCATGGCAAACATTGTAACACAGTTACGTAGGAAAGATTTCTCTATGAACCACCTCAGGTAGTATCCAACCTCAAGAACTGCAGTATCTGCTGAAGAAAGCAGAGAGAAGCCACAGAGCATCTGAGATCAGGAGAACCCCTAACAGCCACTGAGTATTCACTGAAAACGTTGTGGGCTGGGGGAGACAGCAGCAGAAACTGAAGAGGGTTTAGCCCACTACAGCACTTGTAAGCGCAAGGCAGGCCTGCTGTGAGTCCTGCGTTGTGAACTCTCCAAACACAGTACCCACAGTAGAGAAATGAGTGGACTCAAGACCAAGCAGGAGAGGGACAGCAGAGACAAAGGAAAGAGTAAGTCCAGATGAAAGTGGGAGAGCCAAGAAATCTCAGAAAATGACCTACCACATTCCTCAGCAGTACACACACCAGAAAGGGGGGCTCTGTGAGATTAGAAAAGCAATCTGACACAAGACTTTTTTCTGAATGTTCAGGAAAATGCAATTCACATTAAAATAAGCTACAGAAACGTAAATAAGAGTATAAGGAGCAAAATAACATCCATACAGAAAATAAAAATATGCTAGAAATAATCAGAAAATACATTAAAACTGTAACCTAGCATTTTAAAACAAACTAAAAGATAATTATTCACTACTTTGAGATTAATAGTCTCTGAAAGGTGTAAAAGCTATTAATCTACAGGAAATTTCAAGCCTCTCATCATATCTGGTATATTTTAATTAGGTCTTCTAACTTACCTAAAACCCGCATTCATTTCCAAGAAGCATTCTCTTAGGTCGGAAGGTACAAAGCAGTAGCATTCAGAACACAACTATGTATATTTAGTTTTACCTATATAAGTATTTTAAAATTTTGCATTATTTTTCAGTAATTAAGAATTAGGAGATTTAATATTCTTAAAAATCCAGATTCTGGGCTCTTCTTGGAAACCTGAAAGATGTGGCAACACATGTCTATATGTTCCCATAAGGCAATGATCAGCTAAATGAGAACAAGGTTACCTGCCCTCTAGAGAGGGCACATATCTGTTGCACAGTAGATTTATCATGGTCTATCATAGGATGAATTCATTCCCTTGTTACTTGCCTGTCCACTTAGTACATCTGAGTATATACAAGTCTAAGCAAATGCCACTGTCATCATTAAGATATGATGGAATTCAATAAGGATACCAGTTAAAGAAAAAATAAGTAATGTAAATACACTGGTTTACATTTTAAATCCTTTAAGCATTAAGCAGAAACTTCAATGCCAGGTACAATCCTAAGTAAGTTAAATGCTCAGCTACTGCTCTCCTTGGATCTATTAGGACACAAGAGAGGTTGAGGTTCTCTCTCAAAGAATTTACTGTCAGTAACTCCTCTTTCCCCCACTGAAGAATTCTAATAAACTGAGGACATGGTATAAAACAATATAGCCAAATATTGGTGATTTCAACATGTGATTTGTATGCAAATTATTAGTGAACTTTACATTCTTTTTTCTACCAAGTGCTCAAGATCCAGGGTGTAACTTACACTTATAGACACCTTAATTCAGACCAGCCCCTTTTCAAATGCTGAATAACCAATGTGACTGGTAGCTACTATACTGGACAACATAGGATAGACAGTAGTATGAACAGTCTAACACAACTTATAAAGAGCAAAAAGGAAAAAAAAATACAAGACAAATAACAAACACACATATGAAAAATGTGTGTTAGGGGAAGGAAGGAGACCAAAAGGCGGTTTCTCTTGCCCTTGTCAGCTCTGGTATGTCTCTCTTTCTTTCTTCTTTCTCTAATAAACTAAGTTTTAAAACTAAAACAAACAAACAAACAAAGACCAAAAGAGCAATGTACAAATTGTTACAGCTCATAGTCACATCTGAGCTATAGAAAAAATTAATTCTAGGATAAAGTTTAAATGTTAAAATACACCATTTGGGGGAAGAAATTTAAGAAAAAATGTGCTTTAAAATGCTTATTGGGAATCTTACAGGAAATCAAATAAGTTCATATATTAAAGTCACACAGGAAACCATGTTTCTTTTGCAAATCATGACACAACCTTCTCAAAATTTTCAGGTGAAAACTTTGGTTGATGATTTGATCCGGAGGAACAAATTCTGAGTGTACTAAAGGAGTCTGACCTCCAAATGGTAATTCTAGTTTTTCGGGGTCCCACTTCGTACAACAGTTGGCTTATCTATGATGTAGGTATTATCATACCCTTTTTAAAGTTGAAAAAATTGAAGTTAACTTACTTGTCTAAGTTACTTCTGAACTACCAAATAAACTCACTAAAAAGATGCCATCCATTAAATTCATGGAAGTAGATTAATGCGAAACAGCCTAGACTCTTTCAAAAAACATGTATTGCCTCAGTCTGATTTGTAAATTCAAATGTTCAAAAGAATAGTTCTCTTCAAGCAGGACAAACCTGAAATTATTCATAATAAATTTTTAGCTTGAACTTTTGGCCCTGGGTGCAACCTTTGGAAGTCAAGCTTTCAAAAAACTGAGCATCTGATAGAATAGTGAGCATAGTGGAAGGGAGGGCACAACTCTAAAGCTTGAAAGCCAATGGGCATAACCTAGTAATAGGCAAATTCTAGGGCAAATTACAGAATCTCTCCCAGTCTTTGTTCCTGCAAAATGAATAGAAGTCATTTCCCTTGCTGTCAGATCTGAGCTACAGCAATAAATCAGTGCTCGGCATAGAGCAGTCGCTCAACGTGTGACAGCAAATAGCCACAGTGGCAGCAAGAACCAGAGCAGCTGCAACAGCAAAGTACCCTCAGTCACACAGACTGGTAATGTGCTGAGTTTAGAGCCCAGGAGTCGAATTCAAGTCAGTTCTCTTTCTAAAATATCAGTACACAATACTTTAATGGTAAACGTGGTATCAAGCAACAAATTCATTTCATTAAATAGCATATTTTAAAACTCATCCGATATCCTAAAGTACCAAAGATCTAATGCAAATGCAAAATACAGGCATACAATAAATCAAATTTCATGGATACAATTTATACTAAAAACATTTACTTGGAAAAATCTTAACACCCTGTTTTATAAGAAAATAAGCATATATCTGGAGTCGAACAAGTAATTTAGGAATTCTGTCACTAAAGTTTATTTTCAAGCCATTGCTGATTTAAAATGATTTAAAATTAAATCAGCTTTTATTTGAGGTAAGAAACACAGTATTTCAGCACACTGGCTGAAGAAGATTGCATTATTAGTGCTTGATAACATTCTCACAATATGCAATTTAGTAAAAAGCACTGTAGGATAAGAAAATGGATTATTTATTAAATAATGCATCAACTCTTCTCCAAGAACATGTAAAAGGCAAAAATTACATTTCTCAGGCTTTTAATCTGAAATGAATATGCAACAAAAAAAGTTCAATAAAATGGAGTTCTACAAAAGCTGATCACCAATGACAGAAGTCCCTAAGGTGATGAACAAAAACAGACAAGAAAGAAACTGTGCTTCAGGAACACACTACATGACTAAGTGCTTTCTAAATCAGACACCATGCTTTTATGAGGTTATCCAAACCAGATTCAATCAATAACGTAGGCCTCAGTTGCATTACACTCTACATCTTGAATTTAGTTTGGCTAGTAATAAAGGGTGTGTCTGCACCTAAATTTTTATTCTGGTATGTCAATAAATGGCAACGTTTAGTTTCACAGAACCAATATCTAGGCCAAATCTCTAATCAGTAAGCGATAGCTGTCTGGACACTGCACTGAGAAGGATCCTGAGGTTGTATCCAGACTAAACGTGATCTACGTCATGTTTCCCACACACTTCCCTCTCCATTTGCCTCCTCTCCTTGCCAGTTAATCTCTCCATTTTTATCTTTCACTTCCCAGATATAACTAAAATCAGTTTGGCCATTTATAAGACATTAACAAGATGCAACAGAAGATGCTTCAAGTTAGTATCATGATGCTGCATGTTTGCTTTTTGACAATGATAGCACTACTAATGAAATGTGTAAGACAATACAAATATATACATAACATAATCACTC